TTACTTTTTGTCAGCATTTTTGTTTTCTTAGTGACTGGGATATACTTATACCCAAATCTTCCCATGTTTGCTATTATTACTTCCTAGCATTTTGAAACATTCATGAAAAACTAAGAGATCATTCCCTAATTTCTGGGTTTAAAATACTTAAGGCAGTAAAATGATGTATATGATACTACAATGGTGGATACATATCATTATACATTTGTCCAAACCCAATGAATGTACAACATCAAGGGTAAACCCTAATGTAAACTATGGACTTTGGATGATAATGGCATGATTGGTGTTTCAATGTAGGTCCAAAGATTGAAACAAATATCCCATTCTGTTGTGGGGTATTGATAGTGAAGGAGGCTGGGGGTGAAGTGAGGACAGAGGGTACATGGGAGCTCTGTACTTTCTTCTCAACTTTGCTATGCACCTAAAAATGCTCTAAAAAACAAAGCCTATATACAAGGAAAAAAACAAAAACAAACTGAAGACAAAGTCAAATTCCGTTAGTAATAAAAAACCAGCAGCTAGTCTTTAAGTATCTCCTGTACATGGTATGACAGACGAATGATCTCTACTAAAACGAAAGAGTGCTCAAACCAGGCCAGAAGAATTTCATAACTATGCTCATATTCAAGGCAACCATAAAATTCTACTTTGCATTAAGTCCAAAACAGATTGGGCAACTAGCCTTTTAAATCACTTACATCAGCATTTGGGGGCACCCATAAGTAGGTAGACTCCAGAGTAAAATTTAAAACATTCCTAAGTTCTCTCATTCTCAAAAACCATGGTTTGAGCATTTGGATCCTTTTATGTGTCTTCTATCACAGCAGTCCCACTTGTATACTTGTGTTTTAGTTCAGTATGGAGTAGTTAATAAGATATTATAGAATGAAAACGAAGGACAGGTATTTCTTAAATTTATTGAAGAACTCTTAGTTGGGAGAAGAAAGATCACAGGCTTAAACAATTGTAAGATAAAAGAACAATTAATTGCAAATTATTACAAAAGAAATTTCTGAATTTTTTTTGAGCCACTGCTAAAACAAAATTTTAGTGCATCCTGAAGTTCATATTTCGGTAAGTGAACATATTAAATTACTGAAGAGCAAAAAAAAAAAAAAAAGTTACTGTTACACAGTACAAAATCTTAATGTAGTAATTGAGCACAGCCAAATAAACAGCTATAATTATTAAAAGCTGCTTTTGCTATATATCTGGTATATTAAACAAGAATGTAGCTTTTTTAACACTGCACAAGTAACCAAAGGTAGCAAATCCAGCAATATTAAAACCTGATATTAAATAGTATTGAAACATCACAACAAAAACAAAATAAGAATCTCTAGAACTACTATGAAAGGAATGTACACAGATGGTAAAAAAAAATAAATAAATAAAGTGACAAGAGTGACTAACACTGTATCTGCATCTTCAGAGCAGGAATACAGTCAATGAGTAAATGTTTACAAGATTTTTGCTGAAAATGAGAAAAAATGCTTTTCACTCTAGTACAATTTTTATAATTCCCACCGAAGCTCTTATTCTCTTGTGCCGGTAACAGGCAGACAGGGTTTTAAATGGAAAGTTTTTTCCCTACACCCAGACTATGGGTGTGTCTTTTTAAAAATAATTCTATGGAAAGATTCCTTTGAAAAACATAAAATGTAAAGTAATATATTGGTGGAAAACTGAATATATTAATTCTGGAAGAATAATATTAGGTAAATAAGTAGACATTTCAATCTGGACTCTGATGATGAATCAAGATTAAACTTTGCATTTGGGGAACGTGCACTAATGTCAAACTCACATGGGCAAACTATCTTTCACTTTATACACAGTGACATTTAATAAGTAATTAAATTCTCTTAGCAGCCAACGTAAAACCCTTGTTTAAGCAAAATTAAAGTATTATGAATTAAATTAATTCACATCAACTATCTGAAAGGGTAAGTGAAACATTTTCCTAAGTATAAAGATGTTATGTATATTCACTGGGTGAATACTCTTAAAGGTTTTATAACACCATTAAATTGTATTAAACCATCCAACAGATACTATCTTTTCTTCTGCGACTTATAAATGAATCACTCCTTTTGTATAAATCAGGAAATATTTTCAAGATCACTATCAACACCAAAAATATCAATGTAATTTAAACTTGGCTTAGGAAAAGAAGAACATGAAAGAATTGCCACATTTCAGTCTGAAATAAGATTCTGAAAATCCCCTATCAGCAGTCTCATTCACTTTCTTTCCACACATTGCTCGAAGGTTTTGAAAGTGGTTAGCAGAGAATTCAGCTCAATGCACATCACAACTGTAACGGTTCTGAAAAAGACATTTCTCATAAGGGCCAAAATGTGCAGAACGGCAATATTACAAAGTTACAATATAAATATGTCAAGCAGATTTGTAATAAAATATGACTGAGCTGTCCTCAACAGAGCTGTTCTGAAGATGGAGCAACCAAACAAATCTAGAACGTCTTTGGAAAATCACAAAGTGCCTTTAAAGAAAGTTCAGTTTAGACTATATTTTATTAAAAGATACTGCTCTAAACCCGAATGTTTTCTCTCTATATGAGAAAGCTTAACTTATACTTCTCTTCACATCTTCCAATACTTAATATATTTCTCTATGCTCCTGCACTGAATTGATGGACGTGTGGAGTTCTATTATTATTACTACCACACCTGCTAATACCTAATGACTGGCCTGGCATTAGGTAGTGGTTAAATTAGGAAACTCCGAATCTAGCACAGTTCCAGCAATAATACAAAGGAAATAAGAATATGAGGAAAACCTCACCTCAAAGTGATTATACCATTAACAGAAATAAACATAAACATTTTCTAACACAGAAAGTTTTACAAAACGAATATATTGTCACTTTAAAAGAAATCAGTTCCAAACAAGGTCACATTCAGAGAAAAAAAAACAATAAAATAAATTCAGAATTCAATTTTGCTGTTGACCAAACCTGTACATATACCCAAGCGACTAAACACAATTTGATAGGTAGACATTTATAAAAATGTAATCTAAACTTAATGATCAATTAGTCCATGTTATAATTAACAAAAGCAACCATTCCTGGTCCTAATGTTCAGAAATTCAGTTCAGTACTGCCACATCTCAAGTTCTAAAAAGCTAAAGGGAGGAACAATCTTGGTTATAAATTTCCTACATTGTTCCACCTTAAAAAATACTTGAAGAAACTTTAGGAAAATTTATGTTTAAGGCTTGCTCTATTTCTGTATCTTAAATTAAGAAAAACCAAAGCTTACAATGTAACCTCAAAATATTTAAATAGCTTTTTGGCATTTTTCTTAAGAAGCAAATTTGAATCTCTCACTATAAAACACATTTCTCTACCATAATTATTAATTCACATTAACGTTAAGTGCCCTTATTTCCTATTCCCTGGCAGGTGCAATGTCTTCTACATTTTGTGCAGCTTTCAAAAGTCAGTGCTTAGGAAAAAAGAAAATGTGAAGGAGCAAAATCAAAGCTCTCACAAAAAGTGATTTACCCTAGATTACAAAAATCCACTAGTGGAAGAATCAAAACTGTACACACACCCCCACACATACAAAACCAAGACA